GGCGGTCTATGCTACCTCGCAAACGGCAACTGAAATGGATGTCGTATCGAAATGACAGAGCAAATGGCTGGAAGGGCTTGAAGTAATACGGCAGGCCACTTTCTACCTTTCCTCTCTACTGTGGGGTCAGTACAGCGCGGGCTGGGTTTGGATCCGCCCTCGAAATGCGTGTCACTGTGTCACTGCTATTCACTTTGATGTTATATCTCGCTCAACTTTGATAGTTTGTCCGTATGGGCATACGTCATATTTTTTGGTCTGTTAGCATATTATGTAGATCTCGGCGATCTATATCATTCACACTGTATCGATTGCTCTCGAAAATATCTATATCATGGGAGATTCGTTTCATTCGGAGTAGACTGTCATTAGGGCTGTGCACATTCTGTCTAGGTACCCGGTCGCAAAGCAGTAGGTTGATGACATTATTGACATTTTTGGGAGTATTTCCTGCGTGTCGGCTCTGCGGTTTCGATGAGATATTCTATGTAGAGTTCATAACATCGTCGTGAATACCAAAAATCACCTCCCTACGAGCGGGATAAATCATGAATATCTGGATGGGCAGTTTAGTGTTGCTCTGCATATCCAAGTCGCCGTGGACTTTCGTGCAGCAGGAGGACCCCATGTGGGTGGTTCACATGCTCTAGTGGGATTCGCTCAGCCTCGACCATGGGCGTAGCCTGACTGTTGTTGATAGTATTGGTCATATTTGGAGGACCTGGCATCTCGTGTCGAAGTGTATTTCATGTGTGCATGATTGGCACTGGGTGAAATCTCTGAGCTCACTTGTGAGCATTAGAACTTGACCATGATTACCGTTCACATACAATCCCAGCCGCTTTTTTCTAGAATGACAACGCAATGGAGCTTATAGAATCCTAATTGGAATGGTATAGAATGGAGCTTATTCCATCGTCATGTCAGTAATCCTATTGTGGGAGCTGCTTTACTATGAGTGACCTAATTTCCCAGAGTCTCAGATTGCTGCCGGATACCGCACCGCTGACAAATCGTACAGCGATAGCGGTCCATTTGTGCATCCTAGAGAGCGGATATTGTCCAGCGGAGGCTCGAGTTGAACGGCAAGCGTCTGGCGAGATCGCGATGTCGATCGTTCCTATGGAGTGGCTGCGGGAGGGAGTTCAAGTCTTCTCGGGTCGCTACTGTCGTCGGGGTGGAAATATCGTCCGAGAGTTGGAAGTGAAAATGGTGCCGACCAGTTCGGGTAAAGTGAGTGTGCATGCGTGCAAAATTGCGGCTGGGGACGAGAAGGAAGCACTCAGTGGGGCAGAGGTCGATGCTGTTGATATGAGTAATTTGAACTCACTGCGAGAGGAGGTCGTTGATATGCTCACCAAGCTGGAGCCACGGACGCTGACCTCGGTGGGGACTAGGAGGGATGAGGCAGGTCAGGAGACGCGAGATCGTCGTACGAATCCTGAAGGAGAGAATGTAATATGAGGTCCGGAAAGTCTAAATGCAGTGCTTTCGGAATATAGTTGTGAAGTCTAGCTTTGTGATTTCTAATGAGAGCATTCGTGATATTGTTGTGGTATGGCTATGACGTGAGCACTTCAGCACGATGAGTAATAATCAGATAACTCCACCAGTTCGCGGTGGACTTGATGATGTTACGCGTGTAGGTGGTCATTCCATTGATTGCTTTTTCAGCCCTACGCTTACATCAACCCGCCCAATATCATAAGAGATCCTACCACGGGGGCAGGAGGTGCTGGAGGCCTCCTTGTAGGCCCGAGGGATCCGATGTTCACGGGTGGAGGGCCGCAGAATGGTCCGGGCAGTCTGCAGCCGCGATGGGATCCTATGGGCCCTGCTGGATTCGACGGTAAGTTTCGATGAGGTGACGAAGTAGTAGATGGGCAAACGTCAATAAGACCACCCACTATTAGCACAGTTCTTCATCGTGTAAGTGTTTTTCTCGATGTTGCTCGCATTTCAGGAGAACCCGACTATGACCACGAGGTGCCACCGCGGTTCAACCGACCTCCACCACCTGGTAAGGGGTTTGGAGGGCCTAGAGGCGGAGGCTTGGGTGGCTTTGGCTCCTTTGGTGGTGGATTTATGTGATTGCCATTTTCACTCGATATAGTGGATATAACAGTTTCATTTACTAACCTTCATGTTGAGCCGATGAATGTGGGATGAACTGGTTCTTGTTGAGCATAACGGAAGTAGCCAGTTGTCACTGTATGGCCGTTAATCCTCCTGCTACAGGAGAGCAGCAAGAGCCGACGCGCCACACCGCATATGGGCGAGAACGTCTACCATTTACGCCGCGCACGTACAAAATGATAAAACGTGACTGTGAGGTGATAGGGGATGAATCGCGAAAAATGCCAAGTTGGGTGGTTGTAGAATATGAATACTTATGGGAGACGTTAAGTTCTTTTTTTGTGGTTCGTGGAAGTTCCATGTGGGAGGGACTGTTTAGGTAGTTGTCGAGTTGGAGCTCTATGGGAGTTCCCGAATCAGCTGGCGTCACCAGTCACGGCTGTTCACAGATTGTTGACTTTAGGTTGGTTTCGTGGAGGCTTCTCGGGAGATTGACCGTCTCAAGAAAGGGACATTCCCGGATTTGGTGACAGGCGAAGTTGTGGCTGGAGAACTACAGGCTACGAAAAGTACTATTTGGAGGGTGCGTGGAGACTCACAGATCGTTCTGGTGGTGCTGTTCTAGAGCTGCATCTTGGGTCGTCACTCAGGTATGCCCAACCTGCGTCCGTCCAGCCGTGCCACGACGGCCCAGTCCCTGATTTCGTCCACTACGCGAAGAACGTCCAAACACCTCCAGCGGCGGCAGAATAGTGGCGAGTTGGATGAGGGGAGGAAAGTTAGGGTTATGGGACGAACAGTAGGTTAGGTCATATCGGGTGGAGTGATATGATGCTTTTGATGGCCCTCGTGGTTTATAAGGTCGATTTATTTCACTCCGTTCGAATTTCAAAACCGCCTCTACGAATGCTAAGATTCCTTTCTATAGTTGAGTTCGAGGAGATTGATGAAAAGCCCCCAACCAAATGTTGCTGTCAGATTTCCGAAACTGGCATTATCGCATTGGGAATCCGAGAGTTCGCGTTCTTGCTAAGTAAGAAATGCATGATGTGTATCGCTCTATCACTGATCTCAGATCGAGATGAGCCGACGACACAAGACGCTCCGTAAGGCTACGCTCATGAGTGTACCCTGGCGCAGCACAGGCCTAGTGGATGTGAACACACTGCAACGAGAGTGTGTATGTCATTGTAAGGCGAGTGATGTGGGTAGTGTCTCGATTGATCAGGTGCGGCTGAACGCCAGCGGCTCGTCGTCGACTAAAGAGATTATGGAGGAGTGGAAGCATAGGGTGTCGCAGGGCATGAACAGAACACCGATACGGCGTCGGCTGGATGCAGCGCTGGCTCGCCTATCTGGGTCGTCCCCTTCCCCGGGAGATCCACCACCAGCAAATTCAGCGGACTCCACCAGTCCACAGTCTGAGAGTCGCCGCTTAGGAGAATCGGTGACGGTGGGGTCGCTCCTGTCACCGGAGGTGGACTTCATCAGTGAGAATCGGAGCACGGTAGGGATCTGTATTCTCTCGTTCCAATAAACATGGTTCGGGATGTGCGACGTTTTTACGCAGGGAAAAACGTCTGGACATTACTTGAATGTTTTACTCATTCTACGAGCCATACAATGAGCCAGCAGTAATGATGGTCCTATATTTCAGGCTCAACTTCATGCATCGTCTCCCGCTCACAAATTACGCCAAGTAAGCCGTCGAATTGCTTTACCGCATTCGTGTTATGGCAGGTTAGATGGATGGTGGAGAAGCGAGAAAACCGCATGCGATCGGCTCTCCTGAGTCGACAAGGGTCGCTCGTGGCGTGCGACAGAGTGTAATACTGTTCGTGCATGGCATTGCTCTAGAATCGAGTCTTTACGTGGCTCGTAAATTCATGTGGTGGTACTCAGGGACGACCTGAAGGGGCACCGCAGGCTGAGACGCTGTAGGAGTGCTGAGGTTTATGGTGGATCGACCTCTGCTGCTGGTAGTGTCTTCAAAGGGCGAGGGCGGATCAGACTAGGGAGAAAATTTCGGAAGTATTGAACGTATCTCCCATAGAACAGCTCAGTCTTGCGTGACGTTAGGTCACTTTCTTGTGAACATTTTTCGAGTGATGTTTCCTTGGAATCTACTTGGCATTGATTTATCCGATGGGACATCTACTATGTGCTTTGAGTCTTCAGGTCACCTGGACGCACGCACGCGCAAGCCGGACGATCAGCTGAAATCTCGTCAAAAGCAGTGGCTCGAGGTCACTAGGAATTAGAAGCGGTGAGGTATTACCAAAATCGATTCCTTTCAGTTTCTCTCGGTTGCGTCCGGCGCTCTGAAGATGCGGAACTACGTGCTGTCGAAGAGCGTCTCGACCGATGTCAAGCTGCGGTGAGTCCTCCACTCTCTTCCTCCGACTGGCAGGCGAGTTTTCGTGATTGCGATCTATGTTGGACGGATCAGGTCTTCTACTCCGCGATTTCAGTCATCGCGTAAACGTTGGACACTAGCTGTGAATGCATGGTGACTCGACTTCACTTGTCGTGCCCCTTCCTGTCAGCTTCGTTTATTTCAGCGTGAGGTTTTTGAGACCGCTGTGGAGGATGCGAAGGAGGGCCCGTGCAGCTGGAGTGGTGCGGAATTTCCTCGTAACGACATCGCACGCGGGAAAACTGAAGTGAGAGGAAACTCTTCGAAAATCAGTTTCGATCTTCTGGTGATGTCAGTCTTGCCGTGAAGCGATTGCTGTGGAATATTAGAAGATTCCAAAGACTGTGGAGGCAGTTTCACGAAGATAAGCAGACCACACTGCTCACTCAGTGGATACCGGCTTTCATCGAGGCGGAGCGTCAGTACCTCACAGAGCTCTACCAGAACAACTCGGTATGGGACAGCCTTACCGGGTCGACCGAAAAAAACAGCCGCTCGACTTTCGTGTAATTTCAGGCGGCAGAAATCATCGTGAGAGACCCACCCGTAGATGAAATTGAAAACTGGTTTGAAGCTTGGCAGAATGCGGCTTCCTATGGGAAGAATCGTTCGATGGGAAGCCAACGGGGAACGCCTGTCCGCGATCGACGTGAGAGTCCTGGGGTCTCGAGCCGCACTTGATGAGTGCACTAGGGTGTCCATCAGGGAGTCGTCGTTCGAGCATGGGAATCTCTGCGAGCGCGCCTACCCTGCGCAAGTCGGTGAGGGTTACTCTGAGCACGCCGAAACCGGCCGAGACTCCTGCAGTTCGACGGAGCGAAGCTGGGCGAAGATCTCGAGTTAATCAAGGGGGTACCCGTGCCCTTAATATCACTTTGTTGGTCAGGTGTCTTTTCGTGACTCTGATCTATCGCAATCGCAATCATTGCGACATAGCACTTCCCGTCCTAGTGTGAAGAAGATGTCTATACGGATAAAGAGCCTCGGAATATCCAGGAAAAGTTTTTTCGGGCCGCAAGACGAGGAAATGATGGCGGGGGTCGCCTTGGCGCAGCTGAAGGCTAGAGTTAAGGCGGCCACTCTGCATCCAGTGGGTGCCTCCAGTCGGTAACACAACGCGGAGGTTACTTCTCGCAGGCACTTCGTTTTGGTCTGTTGTCCGCGGAGTATTCTCGTCGTATGCGGAATAAGGCGATTTCTGCGAGAAAGTTGGTACTTTCTATGAGAGAGGCTTTAACACGTCTGCGGAACTGGGTGGGTGAATTTGGAGATCTCTTGTGGAGCTCCGCTACTTTCAGATTGAGTTTGCCAGGATATTCCGTCTGGACGCCCAGTCGGCCTCTCTTCTTCTAGTTCCCAGTGTAAGCACGTCGCTTGAGTCTTGCGTATTGGAAAATGTTGCCAGCATAATCTCACCACGGGTATGCACGGTGATGGTAACAAGAGTCTGGAGTTCACAGCCGACACTATGATGGAGTTCGTCAGGACCAATCACGAGTACGTCCTGGAGTTGCAGCATCTGTCGACTTTTGATATTATCAGGTTTTATGGTAGCGCGTGTGTAACGACATTGGATCCGGATAAGGCCTCGCGCGACTGCCGCAAATCCACCGTAACGCTGACTGTACCGGTAGGATGGCGCTGTTGATAAGATCTTGTCCTCGCAACTCGGCGCCTTTTGTTCTTCCCCGATGAAGTGCGTTAGCGAGCGCGAATTCAGGGTAACGGTGCTACTCGGAAGAACGTCCCGAGCCGCGTTAGCAGTAGGAATTCTTCGCGGAGGAGCAGCGATGAGCACAAGAAGCTCCCCCCGCAGGGATCGGTCACCAATTTGAAGGTATTGCTGGCCGCTTGTAGGGATTTCTCAATGAGGTAGAGTTCACGAGAGTATATGGGGTCAGGTCGTCAGTAGTCAATACTATTGATGAGTGGGTTACTCATCGTTCAATTTTTCGCTGACCTCTTAT